CCTCGTGATCCGTCCGCCTCAGCTTCCCAAAGTGCTGGGATTACAGGCGTGAGCCCCCGTGCCCAACAAAAATCTTTTTAAATCTTTGACTATCCAAATCAGGGATTCAAAGAGTCAAAGCCAGTCTAGCAATAATAGTTTATAATAAAGATAAGACGAATAACCAAGATGTACTGAGCACTTCGTGTACACCAGGCACTGCTTTTAACACTCTACATAAATTCACTCATTTAATCCTCACAAGAACACCAGAAGCCAAAAATTATTGTGATCCCTATCTTATAGATGGGAAACTGGGGCAGAGAAAAATGAAATCAATTGCCCAAGGTCACAAAGCTAGTAAAGATAGTAAATGGTAGAGCTGGGATTTGAACTCAGGGAGAAGGGTTCAAGTCTAAGTTCTTATTTTTGAGACAGAGCAGCTGGAGCGCAGTGCCTCAGTCACAGTTCACTGTAACCTTCAACCCCCTGGACCCAAGCGATCCTCAGCCTCTCGAGTAGATGGAACCACAGGTGTAAGCCATCACACCTGGCTTTTTTTTGTTTTTGTTCTGAGTCAGTCTGCTCTGTCACCCAGGCTGGGGTGCAGTGGCGAGATCTCACTCACTGCAACCTCTGCCTCCCTGCCTCAGCTTCCTGAGTAGCTAGGATTACAGGTATGCACCAGCATGCCTGGCTAATTTTTGTAGTTTCAGTAGAGACGGAGGTTTCACCATGTTGGCCAGGCTGGTCTTGAACTCCTGACATTGTGATCCGCTCGCCTTGGCCTCCCAAAGTGTTGGGATTACAGGCATGAGCCACCACGCCTGGCCTATTATTATTATTATTATTTGTAGAGATGTGATCTCCCTATGTTGCCTAGGCTGGTCTAGAATTCCTGGGCATGAGCAATCCTCCTGCTGTAGCTTCCCAAAGTGCTGGGATTACAGGTGAGGCATGAGCCACTGTGACCAGTCAAGTTTAAGGTTCTTTTTGTTTTTTTGTTGTTGTTGTTATTGTTTTTTAGCCCAGGCTGGAGTGCAGTGGCACAATCTCAGCTCATTGCAACCTCCACCTCCTGAGTTCAAGTGATTCTCCTGCCACAGCCTCCCAAGTAGCTGGGTTCACAGACACCTGCCACCATGCCCAGCTGATTTTTTTTTATTTTTAGTAGAGATGGGGTTTCACGATGCTGGCCAGGCTGGTCTGACTCCTGACCTCAAGTGATCTGCCTGCCTCGGCCTCCCAAAGCGCAGGGATTACAGGCATGAGCCACCGTGCCGGCCAAGTCTAAGTTCTTAACTACTATTTCTCCGGTCCACGTTTCCCAAAATCTGACACACAGACCACAGGATAGGCAGGGGCAGAGGGCAAGACCATTTTCCATGGCATTTGGAAGATCACGGTCATGTAAGGTGGACTTGCCTTTGGTGGAGGAGTGAGGAGGGTCATTGGGGGACTGGAGGAGACTGGGGGAAGAGGAAGCCAGGGTGTGGGGAGGGGTCTCACCAGATGCCACGGGCATCGGGCCAGTCGCGGGCCATGCCAGAGGCCAGCAGCAGCGGGGACACAGGCTTGTCAAACAGGAAATGGTCATCAATGAGCTGCTGCTGCTCCTGCTCCGTCATGCTCTTCAGCGGGTAGTACTTACCCTTGAACTCGCCCGTCAGGCTGTTGAGAGCTATGGGGGCACGGGAGAGGGTGGTCAGCAGCCTGTCCCATTTCAGCCAGGGCATGGAGGCCCAGGGTCCGCCATGCTGCTGCTCCTAATAGGCCTGGACCTTGGCCCCCTGGACGTCCTAAAGGCACCTGAACCCTGTGTCTAAACCCATGCTCATGATGGCTCCCCAAAATCTGTTTCCCCGGTCTGTCCAGGAACAGCCAGCCACACCATGTGCTCAAGCCAGAAAATAGACCCGCCCCTTTCCCTGGGGGACCCCCACATCCAGTCCACCTGCAGGTCACAGTGTGCTGGTGCCTGGTCTTAATGGGTGGCAAGACAGATGGCAGAAGTCTCGGGACTTTGAGGGGCCATTAGTAAAAATTATTATAAAATAGAATGGTAGCCAGGTGCACCAGCACGAGCATGTAGTCACAGCTACTGGGGAGGCTGAGGCAGGAGGATCGCTTGAGTCCAGGAGTTCGAATCCAGCCTGGGTAACATAGCAAGACCCCCATCTTTAAAAAAAAAATTGTAGGCCAGGTACAGTGGCTCACGCCTGTAATCCCAGGACTTTGGGAAGCCAAGGCGGGCAGATCACTTGAGGTAAGGAGTTCAAGACCAGCCTGGCCAACATGGTGAAACCGTCTCTACTAAAAATCCAAAAAAAAAAAAAATTAGCTGGGTGTGGTGGTGCGTGCCTGTAGTCCCAGCTACTCAAGAGGCTGAGGCAGAAGAATCGCTTGAACCTGGGAGGTGGAGGCTGCAGTAAGCCAAGATCGCGCCACTGCACTCTAGCCTGGTGACAGTGAGACTCCATCTCAAAAAAAAAAACTGTAGGCTGGGCACAGTGGCTAATGCCTACAATCCCAGCACTTTGAGAGGCCAAGGCAGGAGGATCACTTGAGGTCAGGATTTCCAGACCAGCCTGGCCAACGTGGTGAAACTCCATCTCCACTAAAAATACAAAAATTAGCTAGGCGTGATGGCATGTTCCTGTAATCCCAGCTACTCAGGAGGCTGAGGCACAAGAATCACACTTGAACCCAAGAGGTGAAGGTTGCAGTGAGCTGAGATTTCACCACTGCACTCCAGCCTGGGTGACAGAGCGAGACTTTGTCTAAAAAAAAAAAAAAAATTGTGTGTTTATTTGTATATATTCATATGTATAAAAATAAGCATATAATGAATATATTTGTGCATATGTGTAATAAATCTATAGTATTTTTGTATTTTATACATATTCATATAATATACAGGCATACCTCATTTTATTGCATTTTGCAGATATTGTGTCTTTTTTTTTTGAGACAGCGTCTCACTGTCACCCAGGCTGAAGTGTAGTGGTGCCATCTCAGCTCACTGCAACCTCTGAATCCCTGGATCAAGTGATTCTCCTGCCTCAGCCTCCCGAGTAGCTGGGATTTCAAACACACACCACCACGCCCGGCTAATTTTTGCATTTTTAGTAGAGACGGGGGTGTTACCATGTTGGCCAGGATGGTCTTGATCTCCTGACCTCGTCATCTGCCCCCCTCAGCCTCCCAAAGTGCTGGGATTACTGGTGTGAGCCTCCAGACCCGGCCAGATATTGTGTCTCTTACAAATTGAAGGTTTGTGGCAACCCTTTGTCCAGGTCTATTGGAGCCATTTTTGCCAGTGTGTCTGTGTCACATGTGGGTAATTCTCACAGGACTGCAGACGTTTTCATGATTATTATATCTGTGATGGCCATGCTCTGTGATGAGTGATCTCTGATATTACCGTTTTCATTTTGGGGGGTGCCACCAACCTTGCCCATGTAAAAGGGTGAACTTAATGGATAAATGTTGTGTGTGCTCTGTCTGCGTCACTGACCAGCCGTTCCCTCCTCTCTCCCCATCTCCTTGAGCCTCCATATTCCCTGAAACACACGATTTTGAAATCAGGCCAATTCAATTAACCCTATAATGGTCACGAGGTGTTCAAGTGAAAGGAAGAGTCAAGATTCAAATCAAAAGCTTAACAGGCCAGGTGTAGTGGCTTATGCCTGTAATCCCAGCACCCTGAGAGGCCGAGGCGGGTGTCAGCTGGTGTCAGCTACTCGGGTGGCTGAGACATGAGAATTGCTTGAACCAGGAGGCGGAGGTGACAGTAAGCCAGGATTCCACCACTGCACTCCAGCCTGGGAGACAGAGGGCGACTCCGTGTCAAAAAAGAGATTCTTTTCAAAATATTACTGCTGGCCAGGCGCTGTGGCTATCGCCTGTAAGGCCAGCACTTTGGGGGACCAACATGGGAGGATCACTGAAGCCCAAGAGTTGGAGGTTATTGTAAGTCATGATCGTACCACTGCATTCCAGACTGGGCAGCAGAACAACACCCTGTCTCAGAAAAGAAAAAAAAGGAAGGAAGGAAGGAATTGAACAGCCATCTCAAGCTTGAACGACAACCACCCTGATGAGTCAACAGCCCATCAACATCAAGGTAAGGCCTATGCAACAAAAGATTCCAATTTGCTGAGTGCTCAAGTGATCATAGCATTTTTAGCAGCATTTTAAAACTAAGGTATGTACTTTTTTTTTTTTTTGAGACGGAGTCATACTCTGTCACCAGGCTGGAGTGCAGTGGCATGATCTCAGCTCACTGCAACCTCCGCCTCCCAGGTTCAAGCGATTCCCCTGCCTCAGCCTCCTGAATGCTGGGATTACAGGCACGCGACAGCACGCCAGGCTAATTTTTTGTATCTTAGTAGAG